ATATATATATATATATGGAAAATATATATAAATATCTCCAAAAAAGAAGATCAGTATAATACGGAAGACAACAAGTACTGAGTTTTTTTTCCTGAAGATAAACAAATTACTTGCCTTTCTGCTCTTTTACTAGAGGACATGTCTCCTCGCAAGCATCTTCTGCAGGTTTACGCGAGACGATCTGTTCTGCCAGCCTCGAGTTCTCGGGAGCTCGTTTCACAGCTACTTCTTCTCTAACCGGTCGTTCTTCAGGCATTGCGGTCACTGCTTCTCGCTCCCTCGGTGGTCTGACAGGTCTTTCGCGATCGATTTTCTCGTACAAGGTGGCCGCATTCCTGGAAATTTCAGTACGCACCGCCCTCGGCTCCTCTGGAATTTCCCTCGCTATTACGGCGGGTAGAATTTCCTGCAATTCCTCGTCGATATATTGCTCATAGTCAGTTTTGTCTTCTTCCTCTTCGTCATATTCCATGGGTTCCTCTGGCACAACTAAAATTATCGTTCAAAATTACCATCAGTTAAATTTCTCTGTAAGTCATATCTTAATAATTATTCTTAATTACAGTGCTCTTCTAATTCCTGCGACGGTTCCAATTCAATTTTTGGTCCTGGCGTCTGTTTAATTTCGTTTTTTATAATCTCAGGTTTCTCAATCGGAACTTTCTTTATAGGTTCTTCTGCAATTCTTTTCTTTTCAACGAAATCAATTTTTTCATCATTGCGATCTGCTGTTCTTTCTATCGGACTGACAGTGATTTCCTTCTGGACGATCACAGGTTCTTGGTCTATTTTTTCTTTTTCTGTCGGAATGACAATTTCTTTCTGGACAATTTCTTCAACAAAATCAATTTTCTCTTCATCGTGATTTATTACTTTTTTTATTGGAGTGACAGGTTTTTCTGGAATAATTGCAGGTTCTTCGATTAATTTCTTTTCTTCAACATCAATTTTCTCTTCATTGTGATCTATTTCTGCTTTTATTAGAGTGACAGTTTCTTCCAGAATGATTGTGAATTTTTGAACTAATTCTTCTTCAACAATTTTATTTTTTTCTTCATCGTGATCTATTACTTTTTTTATTGGAGTGACAGGTTTTTCTGGAATAATTGCGGGTTCTTCTATTAATTTCTTTTCTTCAACAAGATCAATTTTCTCCTCATTGCGATCTATTATTTTTTTTATTGGAATAACAGATTCTTCTGGGATAAGTGTGAGTTCTTTTTTTAATTTCTCTTTTTCCAAATCAATTTTTTCTTCATCATTGACTATCTTTTCTGTTGGGATGACAGTTGGTTCTTTAACAATCGGAAACTCCGGGAAAACCATTGCTTTCGCTTCGATGTCCTTTAACTCTTCAGATCGTACATCATTGATGGGTACATGTGCTGTCTCGATTACACGTTCCGATTCGTTTCGTATAACTCTCGAAATAATATCCGACGGAAGTCGCGGTTCCACATCGTTCTTCTTCCGCGGAAAAATCCCGTCCGTCACATTAGGCAATTCTTTGACTGTTTTATGAAGATAGAAACGTTTACGCAAAACGTATTAATTATGCGTTTTTAAAATATCAACATTTATTAATAACGCGTTCAAAGACATCTTATACAGAGACATACTTGCGATACGGAGCTGTTCCCTAACTTTGGGACAAGTTACGGGACATCGGTTTTTTATAAAGTCACGGGACATTTAGAATGTATAATAATTCGCGCTTCCATAGATTACATATTTATATACGAGACACATTCATTATTTCACAATTTCGCAAAAATAGCGAAACGTGATCTAAACAACGTTTATTATCTATATTTAACATTATTAATATTCTGCTTTCATCTTTTATTGAGGTTGACATGCCAATTTCATTTTATATCTAAGTTATCTAAAGTTTGCAATAATTTACATCGATTCGTGTCTGTATTCGCTTGATGAACTCGTAGAATGCTTGACGTGCAAACGATGAATTCATCTGAAAGCGTCCCGGATTACTTAAATAAAAATATATTCCCGACTTTATTAAATGCAATGGAGGAAATGTTACTTGAAGCTGATCGTCGGAATGCGTTAGAAGTATAATGTTGCATCAGATATCGCGTGTATTTTCAGAGTCAATAAATACAAACAATATCTTGAAAAAAAATTATTATATTTTATAGACACATAAATGCTCCTTTAATGGATTGGATTATCTTGCCGAGATTCTTTGGAATCGAAACTCGCGACATCCGAGTAGATTGTACACTTGGCAAGGCGTATTTAACATACCACAATTCAAGCTATTGCTAAAGTTGCAGTAAGAAGAAAACATATCCCGGTTTTTAAAAATTATATTTTATTTTACACTTTTTTTTAGTCCCAGGCCAATTTATCCAAAATCGTGGTTATGGACTAAAGAGGAGGCCGCCTTACATATACAGAGATATATTCGTGGTTGGCTTGTTAGAAAAAAAACGGATATTCAGGAGATGCGTCAGTTTTGGAAGGTATTGGTATAATTAAGGAATTGAAAAATAAATATTAGTTCTATATTCTTGCTCTATAAATTGTAGGTCATTCGTGCAGAAAAAATGGACGCTCCCGAATTTAATTATATATCCAATAAAATGGAGCTTTGAGAATCGGATTGTTTTCTTTTTACGGTTCTCCCTAAAGTAATTTATTGCTTCTCTCTTCAGAAATAATTTATAAAATATTTATTCTTAACAACTATATATATCAACATTAAATGTAAAACCTCACGGGGCTGTTGTCTCTTCTGGCTTTGGGAAAAATGGACTAGATTCGTCCACCTTAAAGTTCAATTTCACCGTTGGGGTTTCACCTTCCTCAGCTACTCTGTAATTCTTAACATCTGTTGCTGTAAGATTATACTGAAGATCTAATTTTGGTTCTGTGGACACAGCGATGCCTTTTGCCTTCATCTGATTTATTATCAACTGTGAGAATAAAGGTGGAAGATCTGTTGTCCTGGGCAGGATTCTTTTCTCCACTACCTTTGTATTATTAAGAAATATATGCTCCTGATCCTTAGGAATCAGCATGTAATCTGCCTTGTAAGTCGAGCTGTCCAGTTGTACTGGTTTCGAGTGTTTGTTGCCACGAAAGACTTTCTCAACTAACACCATAACTTTGCGGTCGATCTGAAGCAATGCAATCATATTAGAAGATGCAACACAAATTAGAATTATCTGATATATTGCATGCTTTCCAGCAAGAGATACAGATTACACAAGAAGTCTTTTCTTTATCAAAGTGACTCTCCAAACTGGTGCATATAAATTGAAACGAAAGAAATATAACTTGATTCAATCCAACTTATATGTATCGTGTATACCATTCCAGAGAGTTCTTTGATAAAAAAAAAACGGATTTCATATGACACAATAAATCATTATATTTTTATTGATTGTCATATTAAATAAAGATAAAATGATGAAGAAGATGACTGTCACATCGTCTCTCTTGCTGGAAAGATCAACCATCAGCACTTACATAGGGTCGGTCGGGTAAGGGCATCCCAGCGACCTTCAGTATTTTCATGTAACAAGGCTCGGGATACCTCTGAAAGCGATTCCTTATCACGAGCCTGCCAACGCCAAAGTTTTTCAGGTTTGCCACGATTTCCCATAAGGGCTTTCCCTTAAAATCCGTTGTGCGACCGATGAACTTTATAGGCATTGTGTGTAAAGTTGACCGGTAAACGACTCTGCCGAATTCACCGTTCTGACTCTACAAATTTTCTCCTACTGATTAATTCTGTGTACCGAGTTGCTGTCTCGATTCCTTCTTAATGTCGTCCTCGATTATCCATGAGATGCAACATCAAGATCAATATCTACTTTATGAAAACTATGCGTATTTCGTATAAAGATAAACAGTGTTTTGAGATTAAGATTGCAAGAGAGGTTATAAAGTGAATACTTTTTAATTCTAATGGAAGGTGATAGATGGCGGCACAAGTATCGAAATCGTTCTCGGGCGTTTTCGGACGCGGTCGGCGCAGTTCGGAGTGACGCTCTCGCCGATTCAAATTTAGTGCGACGATATCGCGAGCAATGCGCGTAATACCGATTATGAGAGGTGAGTTGAACGGCTTTTCAATGATAAAATATTTGAAAAGTATTGAGAAAGACATCCTAATCTTTCAGGTATCCTGTAAAGATATAAGTAGACATCCTACACGTCCTCTCGTGTTCGAGAATATCCGAAATTCGCTTGAAGCGCAATTCTTCGAAAACTGTTGCAAGATGGTGGAAATTTGCGGTCGCGACTTTACTCGAACGAGATTCTCTTTCTCAGGACGAAGGTATTTTAAAGAAAATATCGAGATTATTATCGTCTGTCCCGTTTAAATCGCTATTGCCGTTGTTTCCTCTTTTCGCCTGATATTCAAATATTTCTTCTTACGACAAAAATTCGATTGCAGATCGCGCGCAAATTCTAAGCGATTCTCGACTGATCATAGGTCTGTTCACGTTGCATTCCCAAATATTTTTGCACTTAAAATGATATAGATATATTTGGCTTTGAAAAGAGAGAAAGCGGAGATGTACAATAACGAGCAACGCGAACAGACCTCATAATTATGCGACATCGGGGCAGAGAAGCGGTCGTGGAATACAGAGGTATATGTGTGTAAGTTATTTATTAAACTGATAAATATAATATATATAAGCTGTGTTGCAAAGAAAATGCATTACTCGACGATCCGAACGCTCGAATCAGATTTCGCGAATTGCGTGCCGTGTATCGCTAACCGGTGCGCAAATGGCGCCGACTACGTTCCACTTGATATTCCCAACGCTCTTGGTATTATTTGATACTTGTCAAGTGTTAAACAAGGACCGCATTCAGCAGAAAAAGCTTTACAACTGTTGCAAAGTTCTTAATATGTATATAAGTTCTAAATTATTTCCATTTAGACATATCTAGATCCAGTGAGAAATTGAGGCAAGATTAATCATATTAAAGAATTTTACAAGAGTTAGCAAAGCTATATTTTTTCTGCTGAACGTAGTGAAAGACAAATAATACTCGCGAGTGTTATGTGAGCGCCAAGTGAAACGCATTCCTATAAATCTATGTATAATAAATTAGACATTTTTTTAAATACAAAAAAAAAAGAGAAACTAATTGATGACACAAGAACGAGCAATAATCGAATAAATAGCTTTTTGTTTTGAATCGGCTGCCTCCAAGTAAAATTTGCTTATATGCAAATATAATAGAATATAAATTGTTTAAATATAAATATATATAAATATGTCTTTCTCTCTCTCTCTATATATATATATATATATATGCACGAAATTAAAATATTGTTCGATTTTGAAGAAATGAAACTTTGCCATGTCTTTTTTTTATGTCAAATACGATTTGATTCGAATGTCATTTTTTATCATTAATTCACAGATCCGACAATCTGGTGAATCCAGTCGAGATAGTGCGAGACGCGCGTGTAGACGCCAGGCACGTTCCGTTGGCCGCAACCGATGCCCCAGGAGACGACGCCGGCCAACTGCCAGTGGCCCTGACGCTCGCAGACCATGGGGCCGCCGCCATCGCCCTTACAGGCATCCTTGCCCTCCTCGCCGCCGGCGCAGATGAAACCTGGATGAAGCGTGAAGCTGTGTCCTAGCCGCGTCTGCCTCATCTGCTGCTCACACACATGGTTGCTGACGACAGGTAGGTTCACTTCTTTCAACAAGTTAGAATACTTGGAGTGATCGTCGAAAGCGTCCTTGCCCCATCCGGTGGTCCAGCATCTGCCATACATTACGTTAAATTTCAGTTAAAGCGCATCGCGTTTAGAAGCGAGAGTCCGTTCGGAAAGATTTTTGGTTTATGATTATTTGACTCTTAATAATAGGAATTTTTTAAAAATATAATAGAATATAACTTGTTATTTATATCAATTTTTCTAAAACATCTGCTGCTTCTTCTCGCGTATATATGAGGCATTAAGTATTTACGAAAAAAAAGAGATAATTAATGTTATTGCTACGTTTTTTTAATAATACTAGGCTTTAAACTTTAAAATTTGTTAAATTCTGGAAATTATATTAAAAATATTATAGCATTACGATAGCCATATAGGCTTAAAGATATAAAATATTCTACCAAGACACATTTTATATATATTATATATATCTCAAATTATTTCATACTATAAGCATTTATCTATAAAATTTTTTGTCGCTGTACTAACATCAATTACTTTTTTCTGAGGAAATACTTGATATCAATATATGTGAATTATAAGAATTGAAATTCATTAACCTTGAATTTAGAAGAAATTCTCGCTAACACGTATTAATGAGAAATTTTTAAAATAATTTTTTTCACAACGATCTCTTCCGTTTTGGAGAGTACGCACCTTGTTCCAGTAAAGTCGTCGTATTTATTTGGCAAACAAGCTGGACTAATGTGAGGGTTCTTTGAGAAATCGACGTTATGATCCAGCGTCAGAATAGCGATGTCATTGGCAAGAGTGCCAGCGTAGTACTCAGGATGCACGAAGACACTCACAACGTCGCGTTCGATGTAGGGGTAGAACTCGACATCGTGATTCACATCCCATTCGCCTAATCGTGCGCGAAGATCACGAGAGGCATGGGTCTTGATGCAATGAGCAGCAGTAATGATATGTCGGGACGAGATCAAAGTACCTCCGCAAACGTAGATACTTTCCGTGGTGATCTTCTTCAAAATAGCTACATGCCACGGATATTCACCTAAATAAGAACGATTTAATATAGCAATAATATTATTTAATATCACCATGTAATGAAATATTTAAAATTATTATATAATACATATGTGTGAAAAATATCTCAAATAATACCATTGTTAAGCAATGAAAATGCATATGAAATTATATATCAAATATTTAAAATTTAAAGCATATTAAAAATTAATATTTGAAAAATTTAATATTGTAGTAGTAATATTAAATTCGCGATAATAATAACTGAATTTCTACATTCAGAAACGTTTTATTAACATTACATGTACGCATATTTATTAATTTGCGATCGATAAGCAATAATATCAGTTAAATGTTTGCTATTCTTGAAATTACAACAAAAAAGGGAGAGGTATATTTATATTTAATGTTTTCTATCTTAATATTCCCAGAGAGATGCGAGGATTTCTCCAAAACGTGTCTAATTCAAATTGACAGTATCCTTTTCTATAAATGCTATTCACTTAATAATTAATTGTATTAGGAGTCGCATACCAAATTCGGATTCTCCGTCGACGTAGATTGGGGTCTTGATACGGCCATTGATGCCCTGTGCGTTTCTAACTCCGCATTGATCGTGTTTCACTCCTACTATCTGCGATCTTGGGCAGCAGACGTGATAAGAATTGCAAGCTGGACGTCCATATCGTCTCTGCGAATAGAAAGGGATCGGTCAATTGATTTCGTCTCGACATACCTACGATGAGTTCTACTTATCGTGTTCTCGACTTCTATCTGTGCTATACACCGCTGCTCAGTTTGA